ATTTTTCTAAATTCATATTTGATAGATACTTTGATGCAGTAATAGTTGATTCTCTTTGGTAATTGTCAAGAAAAATTACAGAACATAAGCTTGCTAAGATATAGTTTATTTTCAAAGAGAAATACAATGTACACGAAATAGCGAAAAAGCTGATATCAGTTGTTCGTTGAAAGAAGAGAAGTAATCAAAGTTTTTACGACCTTTAGCGTTACCGATGCCAAAATCGTCATCTTGTGCTTCTTCCTCGTCGTTAACGGTTCTCTAAACTATCTCACAATTACAACCTTAGTCGTTAAAGTAGTGAAGCGGCAGTGTTGAGAAAAACCTGTGCAGGTGATACTTAAGAGAAAGAAAACGACGAGTACAAAGAAAGGTTTCTTGCGCATTCTTTTCCTGAGCGAAATTATCACTAGAAAACACAGGCAATATTTAAACTGGAACAACAGTTCTAGACCACTTACAATTCAGTACATAAGAACAGTACCACGTTTACACAGAGATCAAACAAGGCTGTTTAAAAGTAACAAAAATTCGTTTAGCTTTTAAAACAATTTTAAGTTTTTACTTTTTTTGCAATTTTTTAAGGAAAACGGTAACGTTTTGAAATCCTCTTAAATTTAAAATGAAACACTTCACGTTTATTCAGTTGCTTTAAATTCTTTGCTTCTAGCACGATATTGTTTAATTAGAGTTTACAAAAAATAGCTAAAAGCTATATCTAAATTAACGGGTTTAAAAACTTGATAAAGTATTTGTAAAAAGCTATCTGCTTTTGTAATTCTCTGTTCATCAAGAAATAGTTTGTTATTCTAACAAAGCATAATTTTGCTAGTGTAATCAGCTTGACCTGTTGTAGTTTGAAATTCAGAATGGTTCTACATTTGTTAATTCAGCGTACCTATCCCATTACATTTTGCCCAGTTTTGAAAATTGTGTTAAGTAGAATTAAAGTCAAAACAATATTCTATTAGGATAAAAATGTTTCTTAAAATATTTGCTTTTTGGTGTTCAAGTAAATTGTTTGAATAATGCTTTTGATAGAATTTTGAAAAAAAAAATTGGAATTAAATTAAAAGTTGTTCTACAAAATTAGTCTTTAGGCTGAGCAATAAATTATGTTAAAATATGTG